TCTATCTATCTATCTATCTATCTATCTATCTATCTATCTATCTATCTGCCTATCTATAATTTGATTCCTGCCCTTAAGAACTGGAAGGAGACCAGAGTTCATCCAATCAAAGACATAATGGAAATATGAATGCCTTCAACAACATCCCTTCATTGAAAAAAAATGGTCAATCGGTTTCTGCTTCAAAGACCTCCTGTAATAGGGAGGCTCAAGTGGCATTCAGTTCCACTTTGGCATAGTTCTAATTGAAAAAATAAAAAACAAAGCTTTTTTTTTTCTCCTTACATTGATATAAAATCTGTTTCTCTGTAACTTTCACCCATTGTTTCTAGTTTCTGGTCCTCTGGGTCCAAAGAAAATAAATCTAATCCCTTTTTCCACATGATAGAAATGCTTAATGCTTCTGGGCTTAATATCCCAAGTTCTTTAGTCTAAATCTTTTACAGTATGATTTTGAACTCTCTTTATCATCCACATTACTGTTTTTAGAACACATTCTAGCTTATCTGTCAGGGAATATGAAGTGTATATACAAAAATAATTTTAAGAGTAGGATGCGTTAAATTCCACAAGAGGTACATACTGCACTGGGAGTTTAGATAAGGGACAGAGAACTTCTCATTTCTGTAGTAGTGGAGCAGAAAAGGAGGCTTGGTGGTCCACACGGCAACCATTGGTGCCAGACTTTAAGTCAGCATTGAGAAATTGGTAAAATTTCAAAACATTTAGTCTGTATTTATTTTTAACAAATGTATTTATGCACATTTTGTCTTTCATAATGGAATGTAAGTTCTTTATGGACAGTCTATTTCATTTCTGTCTTTGCACCCCCAGTGCCTCTCACAATTTGACTGCTTAGTAAATGCTCATTGATAAGGAAATTTATTGATTAAATAGGAAAGTTGGGTGGGGACTAAGGGTACATTTTAAGCATGGGAGATGTTCTAAACAAAGGCAAGGAGCTCTGTGGTATGTTCTTTAGAGCAGTTAAATATATGATCTTAAGAAATCATATTTTATTATTACTAACTGAATCATCATTGGATTCAAATACCCAGTGGGCTATTGAAGAAATAAAAACCATGGCCTCTGACTTGCAGGAATTTATAATCTCATTGCAATGACTAAGTACATACATACAAAACACTTACTTATCTAGCATCTACTACCCTTCCGTGAGTTGCACAGATGATAATGAAACAATTAGAAGAGACTTTAGAAGTCATGGAGTTCAATCCTTACCTGAGGGATAATTACATCGTTAAAAAAAAAAAAAGATTATCTGGCCATTATTTGAAGATATGCAGCAAAAGGAAGCTCATTATCTACCAAGGTATATTATTCCATTTTGGGGCAGTTCTAATTGTTAGAAAAGTTTTTTCCCCCTTATATTGAGCCAAAATCAGTGCTACACTCTATGCTCTCAATTTTAGGGTCACAGAATGTCCCAGAGTTGGAAGGGACTCAGAAGCCATCTAATTCAATCCATAATTGAACGAAGGTCATCCAAGAAAGAGTTATCCATCCTTTCCTTGAAGATGTCTCATGATTCAGTGATTAGCACAGTGACTGGCACATAGTAGGTCCTTAACAAATATGTATTGAGGCCGTTCCTCTTTTGGATAGCTCAAATTATTAGAAATTTTCCTTTACACTGAAACCAAACCTGCTGCTATGCAACCTCTACATCTTGGGCCTAGTTCTGCCCTCCGGGTACATGGAAAACAAGTCCAATTCTTCTTGTATGTGACAAACCTTTAAATATATAGAGATCATAATGATCATTTCACCAGCTTAACCAGCCCTGGTTCATTTAACTGATTCTCATTAGTATTCATGACACTTTTAACCTTGGACATCTTCCTGTTGGGATAATCTTCAGCTTGTCAATAATCTTCCTGAAATATGGTCACCATTAATGAAAATCCCTCTCCAGAAGTATTCAATACAGTAGGTCTAGTACCTCTTATGTTCTGGAAGCCGTGTCTCTCAATGTACCTTAAGACCATATTTACTTTTTAAATGCCATATTGCACTGTTGCTTCATATTGATCTAACAGCTTATTCAAATTTTCTGTAGATTATGTGTTACTGTGGTCTGTGATTTATGCACCACTGTGTTATTTGTCGTACTGATATCTCCTGGAAGGAAATGAAAACGACCAGATATCCAAACTGATATGATCAAAGCTAGGAGATAGACACTAAATTTCCAAGCAAGGTTGTTAGGACAAGGAAAAGAAGTTCCTATTTCAGGAAAGTTGGTGAGTAAAGCAATAGAACTCACTGTGCCTACAATGAATTGAAGCTTTGAATAGGCTCAAGGACTATAATATATTAAAGACAGCCTAACAAACATTCATTGTGTTAACACAACAAGGAAGGGAATATAGCTGAATGGAGCAGGAAAGGAACATTTCCTCTCCTGGATATTCATTCTTTAATTTACTTATTCAATAATCATTTTGTAAGCACCTTCTTTTTGCCAAGTACTGGGTTTTATGTAGGGGATGCCAAGATAAAAAATCAACAGTTCTAGCCCTCAAGAAACTTACAGTTTATTGGGAGAGAGGGAGTATTTCTACAGATAAATCAATTCCAAATATACATAAATTTCTGGAGGCACTAGCAATTCAGAGATCTGACTGCTCTTGTGGGAACTGGGCTTACAGTAAAGATTTAAAGGACTCTATGGATTCTAAGAGACCGAATAGGAGTAAAAGTAGTGCATGTTCAGCATGGGAGAGGTCAGCCTATGCAAAAGCATATACATAGGAAATGGAACATCTGAAACATGTAAGAACAAATATGCCAATTTATCTAGAATAGAGAGCATGAAGGGCAATCATGTGGAATAAGCTTAGAAAAGCAAGATGTTGCCAAATTGGGAAGGATTTTTAATGCTAAACAGTGATTGCATTTTTTTCCTAGAAGCCATAGTCAGTTAGGCAATAAACATTCATTAAGTTCCTATTAGGTGTCAGGCACTGGGAAAACAAAAATAGTTAAAAGACAGTCCCTATCCTCAAAAATCTCACAGTCTAATGGGGGAGACAACAAGCAAACAAATATATACAAATAAGCTACTGGCAGACTATTAGTACATTATTGCAATAGTCTAGGCTTGAGTTGATGAAAGTTTGAACTAGAGTGGTAGCAGTATCAGAGGAGAGAAGGGAACATTTTTGAGAGATGTTACAAAGATGAAATCAATAGGCCTTGGCCACAGATTGGATGTGGGGTTGAGAGATAGTAAGGAGTTCAGGATGACACCTAAGGTGTGAGCCCTGAGGAACGGGAGGATGGAATTGCCTTTAACAGTAATAGGGAAGTGAGTGTGGTATGTGTGTGTGTGCGCGTAGTGGGGCACTTCAAGGGGATAGCATTTCAGACATGTTGGGTTTAATAAGCTGTCTACTGGACATCCAATTTTAGATGTCCTAAAGGCAGTAGGAGATGTGAGTTTGGAGGCCAGAAGAGAGGTTAGGGCAGGTTATGTAGCTTTGACAATCATCATCATAGAGATGGTAATTAAACTCAATGGATTTGAAGAGCTGGGGAAGAGAAGAAGGCCCAGGACACTTATGGTTAGAGGGTATGATCTGCATGAGGATCCAATAAAGAAAATTGAAAAAGAGTGATTTAATATATAAGAGGAGAACCAGGAAAGAATGGTGTCCTGAAAACACACGGAGAAGACAGTATCAAGGAGGAGAAGGTAATTAATAATGTCAAAGGCTACAAAGGAATTTGATGAGAATTGAGAAATGTCCAATGGATTTGGAAATTAAGAGATCATTGGTAACTTTGGAGAGAGCTCCATAGGGGAGCAACTGCAGGTCTTTGAGGAGAGTGACAGGGTTAGACAAATGCTCTAGAAATATAAATGTGGAAGCTATAGGAGAACAAATTTGAGAAGTGAACCATGGAGGGAAAAATATGTGCTTCTCTGTATTGGAGGCAATAACTCAATATAATTAAGTATCAAGGAAAAATTGCATGTAGCTAATGTTTCCTTTATGACCAGCCATCACAATTTTGTTGAAAGAAATGTGGGAGCATAACGAAGGAGAGAAGGAAGGCGGGGTGTTGTTTCAGTTAGGTAAATAGGTTTCAGTGAACATCATTCAGCAGGTGTCTTCCCTTATGTGTGTGTATTTTGTGTTTTATTTTGTTTTGTTTTTGGTGTTCTATTTCTATGCCTTTTATCCTGGGAAGGCAGATAGGAAGTCATTTACCATGTTTATCCCAATCAACTGCACAAGTGTCCCTTCCTGTTCTGAGAAAATGCTAGGGATTTCTGACAGAATACCAAAGGATAATCAGTGACTAACCATTTATACCACAGGTTCAGTTCTTATCCCTTGCCTGACACAATTTTCTGAGACCACTCTCTTTCCCCAAAAGCACATGCTCATGATAAAGGCGTTACTGTCACAGAGACCATATTGCATGTCACACAGGAAGGTTTGGACTATATTTTTAACTTCTTGAAGTTGATGCTATTAAGAAAAACCATGATCTCTCATAAGATAATTCTTTGGTGCTGCCAACACAAATAGAATCTCGGTCAGGATCAAAACACTGAAGTAGGAAGGTGAATCTCT